TACAAATTCCTTCTTTCTCTCCTCCCTCCATCCCTCACTTCCTCGCTCCCTCGCTTCCTCCTCATTACCTTCTTTTCTTCCTCCCCTGATTCCTTCTATCCTTCTTTACTTTCTGTCCTCTTTGTCCTCCTTTTTCTCAGCTATTTCCTTCTTTTCATTGCATCTAATAATGTATTTTTCAAGTTTAATGACATTAAAGTTATTTTTAACTTTTCAGTTTCAAGTTAAAATCAAGCAATGAGGATTTTTTTCTATCATCTCTCCAATAGTATTTCATTTGTTTTTCCAAATATATGGTCATTAACCACTTGTTTTCATGCAAGTAAAACAGATGCATAGTGGACACATTTATACTGAAGGGTATTTGGGTACAAACACCTGAATGAATAGGACCCAGTGTGTATGACGGAGTGTATAGGGTTTGATGGGGGGATAGGGGGAGGCATGGATGGGGGAGGGGGTCTGGATTTGAGTGGCAAATGATGAAATTTAAGAAACCCAATAAAAATAAATGAAAATAAATATTAAAACATAAGGAATACTCACATGGGGTCATTGAAGATGGAAGTACAACTAAACTGAATATCACATAAATAACACATGTAAAATACCAAGTTTCTGCAACTACACACTAACACATGGTTCAGGGTAGGAAATAAGTTCAGAGTGACTCAAGTCATAGGGCAAAGTCTTCTAAATCACATCCATTTAATTAGGTTCCCTCCTCAGAAAGTCTAGATAGTGAAGATGTGAATTGCTTTAGTGCTGAATATCTTGGCTTGACTTCAAGGTTTTTTTTTTTCATTGTAATAGTTTTATTGAGTTTTTGTGCATTTTATATCATATATCTTAATCAAATTTAGACCATTTCCCCTCTCCCCACCTCCCATAGCACCTTCCACCAGATTTCAGATATTCTGTCATATATGTTAAGTCCGATCCAGTCAAGAATTTCTATCCAGGAGTCCCTCAGTACAAGTTCATTTACTGGAGTTGATCACAGTTTTAAAATGAGCTGAAACACCAAGTTATCAAAAGAGAAGTTACAGAAATCTATTAGCAATACAAGGGTAAACAGAGTAAAGTCCTTTGCCCAATATTTCAGAAATTGTTAAGACAAATAAAGTTGAAGCACTTGGGGTAATTAAATAGAGAAACACTGAAGAAAGTTTCAAAGGATCAGTAATCATTTAAAAAATATTTTATTTATTATTTTTATTTTATGTGTATGAGTGTATTGCATGCATGTATGTGAGTGCACCCATGCCATGTGTGGATGTCAGAAGAGAGCTTTGGATTCCCCTGGAACTGGAGTTAAGGATGGTTC